CTTGACCGGTGGGGTCTGCAACCTGCCCCTTCTGCTGGACCGAGTGGGGTGGGCTGAAATAACCGGGGCGAGGCGGTTCCTCAGATAATCTGGGACAGGCCCATGGCTGCCATGGTGGCCATGAACTCCTGAGCCACCTCTGAGGCACACTCTAGGGATGGCAGGTTGAAGTCTCCCAGGACCATAAGTCTGGGGAACTCCACCACCAACCCCATAGCAGCCTCCAGCAGCTCAGGCAGGGAGGTTGCTATGCAGCAGGGAGGCTGGCACAGCAACACAATCCCAACTGTTCTCGTAAGCCCAACTTCAGGAACAGGGTCTCACAACCAGCCACTTGTGGAACATCACCCCTGAAGGCCAGCAGAGATTCCCAGATGACAACCGCTACCCCTCCTCCCCTCCCCTGGGGTCTCAGCTGGTACCAAACTGTGAACCTGGCTGGGCACATTTCCAAAAGGGGCACCCCCCCTTCAGGGCCCAGCCAGGTCTTGGAGATACACGCCAGGTCGGCCTGCTCCTCATTGATCAGATCACATATTAGGGGGCTGACCTTGTTGTTAACTGACCTGGCGTTAAGCAGCAGCCGAAACCCAAGGCCTTGGTGGGTCTGCTGTCCAGGGCCTGGGTCTGAGTCCAGAGGGCCAGAACACACCCCTGGTAACAAATACCAGGGGTGTCTTCCCTGAGAGCGGCCCTGACTCCCATTGTAACATCCCCTCCCCCCTCACCACCTGAATGGTATAACCTGCCCTAAACCCCCCAGGGTCCCCAGTTCCTCCCAATCCCAGACCTCCAGCCTTCCAGTAAGACACTGGAATGCACTTAGCAACTGCCAGGTATTATGCTGACTAAGATAGAGAGGAAGAGAAGCAAACCTTTTTTTAACATTGTCAGAGACGCAAAACTCCATTCAAGCTATAAGTTGCTTCAAACATAAGTAAATCCTAATATTCTCTCTGGCCCCACTCTTCATTGCTATTACTTGTAAACCTTCTATTTTGGAGCTAGAATGTATGCATAATTGATGAAGGTTATTTTTGTGTAAGGGGAAGAGAAAGAAAATAAACCCCATATTTCTGCCACTCTTAATATTACAAGCATGGCCTATAATCTTTTTTTGCCATGACATGCTATGACATATATATACTGACCATTAACTCAACCCTTTCAGTATGTACTTCAAATTGGGAGGGGATAAGTGGTCTCAAAATAATATTTAGCTTTAATTTGGAAGAGCAATAGGCTAAGACCAACAGTTTAAGATTATTTCATTCCAGCATACTAAGGGAATTGTTTTAAAAACTCCTTGTTTCCAAGAATAGAGCAGCTGCCTAATCTGGTGCCTATAATTTGGGCGGGGGGGAATTAGGAGTAATGGAAGTCCTCTTTTGCAGTTCTCCAACTGAATGAGCTCTTAGGTTTGACAGTGTTCATTTCCATTAGAGTTTTAAGGACAGCAAATTTAGACAGCAAGCAAAAAAGTCAGCTTAATTGTTACTCCTATTTCCTGTCCCTTTACAGCTCCTGTATGACAGCCCAAAAGCACGACAAGAGGTAGATCATCATTGGCGAGCTTCAGGCTGTCCCCACATTGTCCATATCTTGGATGTTTATGAGAATATACACCATGGGAAGAGATGCCTTCTAATCATCATGGAATGGTAAGCAACATTCTTGTTTTATGTTTGGAATCTTGAAGACAGTGATTAGATCTCAGTCATACAATCTCTTTTGTATAGTAAACAGTGGTGAATTATCCATAATTCCCAAGAAAGAGTGTACAAAGCCATTTTGGAGTTTTAAAAAATCTTACAGTTTGTTTCTGAAAATCTTGGAAGAAGGATCTGGGTTCAGAATTGTGTATATATACCTATATATGATTTTTTTTTTTTGCCTTTTACCATTGTCTCTGTGAGTGACAACTGAGCCATAGGAAAGGGATCATCTAGACCATTCCGAACCACTTACTGCATTAAATCCCTCCCTCCCACACACAATGTGATAATGGTCTCATTGATCAAAACCAGTCTGTGGTTGGAGTGGCAGTAGAAACATCTATACAAAGAGCTCCCTTTTATTTTTCCACAGCTCTGCATGGCTGTGAGCTCAACCATGCTTATATAGTAGGAGGTAGAAAGGCATCAAACTGCTTTGCAGACTGGACTGAGAGCCTATCTAGTTCATCATCCCACTTTCCTCAGTAGCCAGTTTTATGTTTTGAGCAAAGCTTCCTACAAGAGATAAGGTTAATAGCATCTTATGGGAAGCTCCTCTATCTGATCTGTTTAGAGTATAATTGATGTATTTATTGCCCTTAAACTAATACATTTCTGGGATAGCTAATTAGGGTTGTCTCCATAGTGAGAGAGAATGGGGTTTATTGAAGCACCTTATACTATGTTGCCCTGTGGAATAATGCAAGTTGCTATAAGGCTGCTTGAGAAAAGGGTTATTTTCCTTACCTTGGGTGAAGACACAAAAGATGTAAGAAAAGGTGTTGGAAACTTCTGTACAGAAGTGTAAAAACCACAAGCATTATAAATGTTTTATTCAAGTTGATGCTATATGCATTAGAACATATGCTCTTAGGAACAGATTCTGTATTCTTATTCTTGCATCATGAATGTTTTCTGTAGTATATTAGAAACTATAACTTTGTTGAGAGTTTCTCTTAAACTAACATTCCTCTGTTTGAAACATATATGACATTGATTTGAATGTAAAATATACTGCAGTTGATACTTCTTGCATGCTGTAGGGAGAGACCTTGCCAAGTAATTTTGAAAAGTCTTGTACAGACATGATGAGAGATGATGAGCAAACGAATGTAGCTGATATAATTATCTGGCTGTCCTGGCAGACTGTCCGGAAGTTGGAAGGGATGCAGAAGATGGGAGTATATTCAAGGGAAATGTGTAGCTATCCTCATTCATCCTAACTGTGAAAAGGACTGGTGTGGAGGAAAAGATCAGTGTCAAGTCAGAATCAGTGGGAGACGGGGGCAAATCAAATTCTGTTCATCCTTGTTCTAAGAGTTCTATATCTGTATCTGCTCAGATTATGCTTTTCCTCCTTAGCTCTTAAGAGTTTCCTTTGCAGAACCTATATAGGGCCAATTTTATGTTTCTCTTCAAATACTCTCTTACCTTCCAGTTGCTGTTGCTGTTGCTGTTGCTGTTTTGTTTTGTGTTTTGTTTTTTTTCCAGAATTCTGATGGCATCAAAACTACAGGAATTACTTTTAGCCATCCTGCAGTACTGTCTGTTGTGCTCATTTCCAGTAGGGTCAAGTAATAATAGTAGTGATTCAGCTTTCTCTGAAAAGCTTCCATGTATATTAAACACCAAGCTTTCAAACTCATTGTGTGATCATTTGTTTTCCTTGTTTTCAAATATATCAGGGAGGCGTAGGGATGAGCAGCAATTTACAGTCATCCAGTCACAAGCAGGTGATTTATTGCAGCAATGGCCTTGCTGCTAAACATTTAAAATCCTATTAAAGTTAGTAGGATTTAAGTAGTCTGCATGGAAGACAAATAACATATTTAAAAATATTTATGAAATATACAGGCAGTCAACTATGGGACTCCAGACATTGAACTTTAATTGCCAGCACTTCTAGGAATCGTAACCCACGAAGATACATTCTGGGAATTATGGTTAGCAAGTACTGGAGGGGCATAAGTTGTTACTTGTAAAATGTAACTACTGGGTAAATAAACATAGTATTACAGTAGTCTGAACTAAGGTCTTCCAATTGTTTCTAAAGTTGAAAAGCCATGAAAAGGATTTTCTTCTGCCACCTTCTTGGCCACACTCCTCCATCTCCTCCTGTTGTAAAGAGACTTCCTTTGTGCATTCCTGTACATTGGATGGGAAAGCATATAAAGGACAATGCAGTAGGTCAGGGGATCTGTACTACCACCCTCTCCTGCAGTATTTTTAAAGAATGGGCAGGTATGTTAGGGTATAGTTTGATGAACAGAATTTGAGAAGAATTACCTTTGTTTTATGCTTCAAGGGAAGAAAGTTGTAGAGCAGCCTTTGTGAGTACTTCCCCCAAATGCTTTTGCCATCTGAACGTAGTTCCTGGATGGTATCATGAGAATACTCTTGGTAATTTGACATGCCTATAAAAGGCTATAGTGGAAGACATTCCAGCTATCCAGGGACCTTAATTCTTTGTAAGCAGGAAAACTGGATCAATCAGAAACAGGTTGTCCAACAGCTGCAAAAGCAACCAAGCAAAGCAAATTATTTAGAACTGTTTGAAACATTTAAGCAATCTATGACAAAACGATTAAGATCTTTATGTATGCTATAAGGCTAGAACAACAGCTTTTGGCTGCTATGTAAGATTAGTTCAAGAAACACATAGCAGATATGAAATAGAAAAATAGTATTACCCATAAAAACTGAACTACTGAAATTAGACCCCCTTCTGTGTTTGCATTTTGAATCATCTGCATTTTGTTCACAGCATGGAGGGAGGGGAACTCTTCACCCGAATCCAGGAGCGAGGAGACCAAGCTTTCACAGAAAAAGGTATAACATTAAAGATTTTTATGAACAAATTTTTGGAAGTTTGTATTTTGAGAAAGCTCTTTGTTGTTACTATTTTAAAGAAATTCTAATCCAATTAAAATTGGTAACTTTTTCAAAATTTTTGGTAGACCTGATTATTTTTATTTCTAAACACTGAAATGTCATAGAAACATGAATTTCAGAGGGCGGGGGAGTTGTTGTTTTTAATAAAAAGCCATCCAAATTTGAATAATGAGGCTGTCACATTATGGGTTGAAACTTCACCAAACACTAAAGTGTTTATTTCAAAATAAACATATACAAGAGGTGTTTGTTTAGTCATACCAAAAAAAAAAAAGTTCAGCATATTGCAGGTATGCAACATACCATATTTTTGTGTCAATTGTATTGTTGCCTTTTAAGCAAAGGACTGAGGAGCAGAAAGGGTGATGGCATAGTCATTTTATTTTTTCCCCTGACATAAACAAGCTAATTGCTAGTTAGAAACACTGTATAACTCTGAGAGACAGTGAGAATGTTAATGTGACCTTTCTGTAAAATTACATTTCTAGAGGCCTCCGAAATAATGAGAGATATTGGAACAGCCATCCAACATCTTCATGGGATGAACATAGCTCATAGAGATGTCAAGGTGAGAACTGAATATGTTCTGAATATGTCAAAAATCAACACATGCAAACAGTTGGGAAATTTTGATTTGCATAGGTCTATTTCTACTCTGAGAGGAGCAACTTGAATCACATTTTTAACGGGACAAAGACTCATACTTCTGGTCAGTAAACCAAGTATCTTTTAAAAGCCAGTGCATTTAAATAGGGTGCAAAGAAGGCCTAATGTCAGTTTAAAATTGGCACCACAAGGTTACAATGTACTGATAATTAGAATTATAAACATTAACAATTTGGAAGGATTTAGTACCAGAAAATTATCTTGTTAACTTTTATTTTATTTTCCTTTTTTGTTACAATCCTAGCCAGAAAACCTGCTTTATACATCCAAAGACAAAGACTCAGTGCTTAAGCTCACAGATTTTGGGTTTGCTAAAGAGACAACTGTACAGAATGCATTGCAGACTCCTTGTTATACTCCTTATTATGTAGGTAAGTTTGGCTTTTTCCTGCCTTCTGATTTATTTATTTGGAAAGCAGGAAATTATTACAGTTTTATAAATACACTTATCCTGCACTGTCATAAGTAAAAAGTCAGGCTCCAGCCAATTGAGTTCCAGGACCATGGATATATGTGACTATACCAAAGTATATGTGTAGTCCAAAGCAGTCAGAGATCACATCCCAAGGCACCAATCCAGGATAAGAGGAAGAAGCCACCAGCGCATAGTCAAAACAGGCCAGGAGTTAATTTCCACTGTAACTATTGGAATTCAGCAAGCAATGCCCTTGTGCAAGAGATACCAGTGTGAAAATTCAGATGTTTTATGGGACTCGTAGGCCAAAAATGGCCTTTGTAGCAGCCGACAAATTATGCTAGAAGGATGGTACTAGCTCAGATCATGCAAGCAAAGCAAAATAGCTCACTGTTCCAGATTTACTATGGACAATCAGAGAAGTGCTGGTGGCACTGGAAATAAAATGCTAGACCCTAAACTTGGGGGTGTCTGTTTCTAACGCTCCCCTTACACGCACACACATACATGTACAGTAGTTTACATAAGTAAACTATGTAAAGTATTTGTTACTGCTAATTAGTACTGTACTTAAATAATTTTAAATAGATTTAAGTAGCTAAATTCAAGTGGCAACCACTTATTTTAATAAAGAAATATTATTGCTGTATAACTAATATTTGAAAAACTAACATTCACAATTCTTTTGTTTTCTTCTTTAGCCCCAGAGGTACTTGGTCCTGAGAAGTATGACAAATCCTGTGATATGTGGTCTCTTGGCGTCATCATGTATATTCTGTAAGTGCAAAGTAGAGGTAACAAAACAGAACTCTGATATGTCATATGTTAGCTCCTTGATATCCCAATCATTTCCATTCCTAATACCACTAGTACCTCAATGATAATTCCATTTTTGCAACACCTAAGAAAAATTAGTCACTGGATTATTACTCATTCTGTCAGAAGATTCAGCAGCCATCTGTGGCTCTGCATGGGACCAGGGAGGGATTATATAGTGATTTTCTAGTTAGCAGAAGTTTTTCTGTATGTGCCACTCTTTTGCAGTTTGTGTGGGTTCCCGCCATTCTATTCAAACACTGGCCAAGCCATCTCCCCAGGAATGAAGAGAAGAATTCGGATGGGGCAGTATGGATTTCCAAATCCTGAATGGTCAGAAGTATCTGACGAAGGTAAATGAATGTTGTGTGTGTCTCCCATAAAACTGCATCACTGGTGAGTTTTAAAAATTGCAACTTTTAGTTGGGTAACATAAGTGCTTTTTATGTTTTTATGAATGTACATAACTACATATGTAGTTATGTTTAGTTGGGTAACATAAGTGCTTTTTTCAGATTTTATGAATGTACATAACTAACTCATAAACATTATAAAAATAAGATTCATAAACCAAGAAGATTAAACAAATTGAATTAACTGCCATTTCTTCAAATCTCACTTTAATATTAGAGAGGGGTTAGAAATGTGCTGGGCCAGTACAGAAATAAGTAAAAATGTATTCCAACTAACAAATGCTCTGTTGTATCACCAGTATGCCTCTTAACATCTTGTTTACTTTGTAATTAGCTTCAGTATGTTTGTCTAGTTCAGGAACAGGCAACCTGTGGCATTCCAGAAATTGCTACCCTACAAATACCAGCAACTACCACTATTTCCCATGCTTTCTAGGGATGCTAAGAGTTAAGAGCTCAGCAACATCTGGAATGCCACAGCTTGCTTACCTCTAGGTTAGTACTAGAATATCAGTAACAATTGCTGCTTCCAGATGTCATATTCCATATAACAAATGATATTATACAGACAGGAAGCAATATGTGTACAAAATTTGTAAGTGGCTCAAAAATGCATCATCCTAAAATATTTTTTCCACCTTGGGGCCAACTTTGCCTCATCTGGGCTAGAAAATCTAGTCATCTTTTGGGGGCAAAATTTCTGAACTGCCCTAGGATTGGCTACAGTGTATGACATGTCCCTCCGGACCAATGGAAAATGGTTTATTCAGGAGCAAGGAATCTCTGGCCTTTCAGATATTGGTCATGCTGCCTGAGACTGATGAAAGTTGAAGTCCAGTAACATCTGGAGGGCCAGAGATAAAGAATTCACCAGATGAGTGATGAGAATGCTAGCTTGGAGGAGGTTGATCTAATGATTTTAGTTTCTAGAATTCTCTAGCTCCACATCATGTTTTTTTTTTTTCCTCTTTCAAATGTCTCATCCCCGTAGAATTAAAATACTGTAGTGGTTAGGGTATTGGTCTAGAATGCTGGAGAACTGGGTTCAAATCCATAATAAGCCACAAAGGTTTACTAGGTAATTTGGTACCAATAATTTGCCTCATATGGTTGCTAACCTTAGAGAGGAAATCACTATGTACACAGTCTTGTGCTCCTGGGTGAAAGACCGGATATAAACTGGAAAAGATAAATAGTTCTTCTTAAGTATAAGAATATGAATATGATATAGTCATTCTATAGACCATTGTAGGTGCCAGACATTCTTCTAATTTGATAGAAGAAAAAAAGTGACTGGGGTGCATGGATATTCTACAATACTTTTCTTGTATAATTTTGCAAGATTTAATTACTTAAGTTGTTTATATATTATTTTTCTAGCTAAGCATCTCATTCGTCTATTGCTGAAAACTGATCCAACAGAGAGAATGACCATTTCTCAATTTATGAATCACCCCTGGATTAATGTGAGTCCTGCACAATGATTTTGGTCTGTCTGTGTCTTTATGTGGTTACTAGGCTGCCTGCTATGAAGATTTGGCATATTACTAATTGATCTAAGGCTCTATCTGTATAAAAGAATATAATCTTTCCATCACAGTATGAGGGAACACTTGGAGGGTAGAGAAAAAAACTCTGTGAGTGGCAGTCTAGGACATTACACCCCCAACCCAACTGCTCTCAGCTAGATTTAGTGTTCATCGCAGTGCACACATTCTCTTTCTCTCACTTATAAAAAGCTACATTACCTCATCAACGTAGGACTTATTATTAGACCTCCAAGGCACCATCGTGCTATACAGCATTGATATGAATAGAGAACCTCCTGCTTTGGGGGCGTTCTCAGTTTTTGGCAGAGAACTGGGAAAACTCAAGATAGAGAAGGGGGAGGTTTCAGCGCAGCTCTCTGAGAAAATCACACCAGAGCTGTTTCTAATGGAGATGCTAACTAAAAGGCCCTGGGAGTCCTGAATTAGACTCCCCTCTGGAGTGGAAGAAAGGAAGCTGCTGCTAAATCTATGAGTTTCTCATCTGCATGCTGCCAGGCAGAAGACACCAACATTTTCTGTACTGGATTGTCACATCTGTCAATGAACTTCAAATAGCTGCTATAAAATTTTATTTATATTCTTGCAAAGGAAAAACAATCTAAAGAAATTAAATGTCTCTTGATCTCTTTCTCTTAAAAGGGACAAAGTCCAAGACAGCACTTTGAACCTTTAGTGGGACCAGGTGCTACATCGAGCAAATGATTAAATAGAGAGTTAATTGTCATTTCTCTCTGCCCAATGGGAGCTAGGCTGAAAAAGGATCTCAGTCCCAGTAAGAAAGCCTCAGACTTAAGCAGAGAAATGAGTTCAGCATCTGTGTGAGAAGAAAGTAAGTCCTGCTTACTTTCCAGTCACCAGAGTTGAAATGGCGATGATTAAGAATGTATCAGGTTTTAAATTCCAGATTTCTAATATAAAGAGTTCTGGAGAGACTTGGAATTCTCACCTCTATTACAGAAACTTGGTTCTAGCACCTGCCCTTAGCCTGAGCCAGAAATCTAGATTGAACCACATTTGAAAACACTGACAAAGGTCATAGTGCAGAGCTGGTTAATTTGGACATTGGAATGTCAGTTGATAAAGAAAAAGTGCAGGTTTAGCCCTTAATTCAAGGGTTGTGTCAACCTCATTGTAGGCTTTAAGCACAGTTTACAAGCTAAAATGTAAGTGTAGGTTTAACAATAGTTTTCTGTTTTTAAAGTTAACTTCCTGCCATTTGGTTCTAGTTCTCATTCAGCTTTGTGGCCTATAAATAAAAATATTTAAAAAGGAGAATGCGGCCTTGATGTTAAGAGCTGCAGAATTTCATACTGAGGTGGATAGAAGGCAAAACTAAATTACTTTATGCAGAATGTGGTTTTGAGCGTTGTGCTTTTTCCTGCTGCTCCAGACTTGTCCTCCTTTGGCTGGGGGAGGGGGGAGGAGTTCAAATGTGAGTTTCTACTCTTGTTTTTAGAAAGTTAATTGCTATAGTCTTATGGAAGTTATGCAATTTTATGATTATGGAAAACACAACTGTCTCCCAAAATCCAGCCGCCTACACTCTCTTTCTCACGTGGCTTAGAAGACAAGTTTGTACGTTTTTAAACAAGACTTCTTTTTTAAAAACAGTTAATGGTTAATGTGTCAGCAGTCTGTCATAAGAAATCATCTTTATTGATTGCTTCTCTTAGCAATCCATGGTGGTGCCACCAACCCCTCTTCACACTGCCCGAGTCCTGCAAGAAGATAAAGATCACTGGGATGAAGTGAAGGTAATCTCTCTGTGTGGAGATGTTCCTTTGTTTGTGGATAGTTTGAATATAATTTCCTTTCTGATTATTTATAACCCTAAGTAGTAGGAGCCTATCTTCAGCTCATTATTATTTGCACAATGGTTGCTAAAACATATGCAGATAATTGATTGAGATAATTACTGTAGTTAGGCACAGAGAAACAAGCAGGCTTTTAGTGGCAGGGTATGCAATTTTTAAAAAAATAAAATTTAGTAGCAAAAGCCTGCAGTGGCCAAGGCCAGGATTTTCACATTAATCTTTCTTTAGTGTGCCTTTTTGGGATAGTTAGGTTTGGGCTTTTTTTAAATAAATGTGCTACAGCTGTCCAAATATTTATACTCTTTTTAAAAATTGTCTGTTCTTTGGAAAATAATGGAAAATTGCACCTTTGATATTTGACCAGGGGCTCTGGGGGCTGCTGCAAAGGCACTCAGGTCACATACAGCTTGTGAGTTGTCCATCCTGGTTCAGGCACATCCAACAAGGATGGGCAGCCTGTGGGCTTTCGCGTGTTTTGGACTTAGAATACCCACAACACTTTGCCGCTAGTGTTTCCTCTGCCAGATTGCCTTTGACATAGGAAAACATTAAATTCCAGATACGCATGGTCAGCATTGAAAATGTGCTACTTCACTGAATGTTCCTTACAGGATTAATTTCATCTTGGTCCCTCAGGTTGTTTTGACACTAATTCTGCATATGAATTGTTTTATTCATGACAGCCTACTACAGAATACATCTGGTTAGGATATATGTTTTGACTTTTGTGGGGAACTCTACAGTTCTTACTCTTGGCTGAGACCCTTCTCTTAGACATAGGAGGAGGTGGACTTTCGCCCTTTAAATTTCACCATTGCTTCTTGTGCATTTTAGGAGGAAATGACTAGTGCTTTGGCAACCATGAGAGTGGACTATGATCAGGTAAAAATTAAAGATTTGAAAATATCCAACAACCGACTCCTCAACAAACGGCGTAAAAAACAAAAACAAGGAGGCACCTCATCTGCATCAGCTGGATGTAACAACCAATAAAGACAAGAGAGAAATAATTAGTTGAACCAAAATCATCTCACAAAGGATGTATAACTGAAACACGAATGTGTGTGATGAGCAAGAGGATGCACTATGGCGTCCAAGATAAGATGTACTAGAACTTTTTATCTGGGCACACTGGGTCTTTTTCTAAGAAGAATTTTGTTAATCATTCTATTACATTTTAGTATACGTTACTTAAAGAGTTGCAACAAACCTTAGAATGCCAGTGAAGTTTGTATAAGTAAATGTTTCTTGTGGTAATGCGGGTTCAGTGCTTACAAAAGCACAGTCACAACAAGCAATTCTAAATCCCTTCTTTTCATATAAAAAATTAGAGCATCCATCTGCTTAACTCTCCAGATGAATTCATAAGGACATAAATGTGCTTAATTTAGACTGGATTATGCTGAATCCATTCAAGAGAAATAGATTAAACCATGCATAAAGCGAAGGAGTAAAAAGATCAGGTTATTACAAGAAGCAATCAGAAAGTTATGAAAAAGTAAGTTTTTCATATATTTTTGTTTGATCTTCATCATTCATTTCTGTTGTATTTAATGTTCTTATCAGGTTAATGCTCTTGTTTTATACACTGTCCATCTGTATAAAGAAGCACTCCTTTTGAGTCTTTGGGAAATATTTACAATTTAAGGCTTAAGGGATTATTAAAAGCTCACAAATTCCTTACATTCAGATCATATAGGTAAATATATAAGAACACTGTAGTTAGTCATATGTGGTGATAGCACACATTTCTTTCAAACACAGGAAAGTTGCACTAGCTTCCTGGTAGGATCCATCTAGCAAAACAGGTATGAGTGCAATCATTACATTTTAGGATTTAGGTGTTCCATTTCCTTGTTTACATATAAGCCATTATTTATTTTTATCACAGATTTTTTTCAACCAACTGTTTACTTTTTGAATTAACTATCAAAGATTAGCCTATAGCAGTAATCAACCAAAATATCACTGTTTACGCCAGCATCCACAACTTTGCACAAAGATTTTAGGTGAAATCTCACACAATACAGAAGGAAACTATTCCCAGGTGAAACCATAATTCTTACTAAAAGAACTATGATAGGCAGATGGCGTAGCTAGAGGACATATCTTTTACATTCTTTTCCAGCAGTAGAGAGCTACAAGTGGTATGGGGTTGACATGGTGACCCCATGGTGACCCTCACCAGAGAGGGCAGGGGCAGAATCATTACCATCTCTCCCCTTTTTTCATTTTTTCTTGTGTTGCTTTTTTTAAAAAAGGCATATTAAAGCAATTGGGCCTACTTCACCTATTTTATTTATATCCATTTTATTTGGTTATTTGTTAATGAATTTCCATGAGAATCTTGGGAAACTACTACTAGAAAACAAATGGTTGGAGCTGCAGTTTCCCTGGGATAGGATATCAGTTTGGCTATTCTGTGAACTAGGTGATATAGCACTCACATATACTGTCCATATGTAAAAAGTTGAAAACATAGGCACATGCCATGAGTGCTTCTAAATTCAAAGAGGAAATTTGCAAATCTGACATATATTTGAATATGTACGTTATTACAGTTGTTTGTATGTATCATACACATTATTTCTTAACATGTTGTAGATTAGGGTGGATGTGATAAAAAAAATTAAGTCACTCAAGTAATTCTTTTGGATATCATTTTAGAGAGTTTAGATATTTCGGTATGATGACAAATGCACAAAGAACAGCAACTGTGCCAAACACTAAAGGTCTGAAACTGAGGTGGATTTTCACACAATATCTCATAATAACCTTGTTTTGTGAAACCTGCATTAGATGCCAACTATCTTTATTCAAACCATTTCATTGTCCAAACATTTTCTTTGAAAAGGGATATTCCTATGACAATTCTCCACAAATGCAAGTGCCTCTGGCTTTCTAGGGAGAAGGCTACAGCAGATCCATCCCTCTCTCTGCGCTTGCATTTGTACTACAGTTTTTGAGATACTAACAAATAGCAGGTGTTTGTTTATGTTACTTCTCATTTCTAACGCTCACTACAGGAAAGAGAAATCCTTGGATGGCCTCCATATTTGTCAGAGGGCTCAAGGGGAAGATGAAGTTTTCTCCCAATTGTACTGTAATGTGGAGAGATGATAAATATTTACAGATGAATTGTTTTATTCCCTATATTCTCCAAGCTAAGTCTGCTGCGCAAGCCAGGAGATCTGAGACAAAGGAAGAGAATTTGTGGCTGTTAAACCAAAAAATATTGGGGACCTCTGTGTTATATCCTTATTCCAGAATTGCAGGGGTTAATATAAATCTGCAATGAAGTAAATTTCTATTAATTACATAGTGCCTCTCTTTGACTTGCAAACAGATATTAAATTGATGTTAAAAGCACTTCAGACTGTTTGTGAAATATTAACATTTTGCAGATATCAATAAATGGTGCTTTACCATTTTTTTTCTTAAATGGATCTTACTCTTCATTCTAATGAATCTTCCTTTGTGATATTTTACTTTCAGCTCTAGGATGGTGAGCTTCTTCTCTCTTCTACCCTTCAAAGAATGTGAAGTTAACTTAATTTGAAGCCATCATTTCTGTCCATATAAGACCTTTATTTTTATATTCAATTTGACTAAAACGTAGAGCAATTATAAGTTAGCAGTAGGCACTAGGTGGCAGCACCTAGCCAACCTTGGCTGCTCTTGAAAAAAATAAACATGGTTGGATCTGGTTAGTACTTGGATTACCAGGGTTAGAGGGTAGATTTGGAAACTGAAAAAAGCCTCTCAGAAGAAGGTAGTGGCAAACTATTTCTGAAATGTTGGCAAAAAACATCATGGACGTCTCTGTGTAGCCACCAGGCGTCAAGCTTGACTTGAGGATACTTTAGCATATGAGACTGAATCAAAGCAAAAGGCTTAAAAAAAAAGTTCTTCATATGTCAGATTCCACATTTTACCCAACATTTATGAAGGTGCCATAATTCAATGTCAGATGACATGTTTCACATAACAGGCTCTAGATTTAATTTCCAGTATTTCTAAGAAGGTTACTGCCAGATTTCAGTATGAAATTTTGAGCTCTTTGAGAAGAGCTGTTACCCTTTAATGTAATCACTGCTGAGCTAGATAGACATATGATCCTGTCTATGGTGCAGTGCTCTGGATCCAGTCTCCAAAAAAAATGCTTTGGAGCATGCACATAGCACTGTGCACAGCACCTTAAAACAGCAACTGCTTTTCTTGAGATTGGAGGGCAGATGCATGATCCTGGGAAAAGATGTGGTTTTAAGATGTTGCAGACAGGCGCTATATTTACATTAGGTGGCTTTCCAAAGCTGTTTCCCATAAAATTGTTATTTACTGGACCAGTCTTGGTTCCAAATAGAAATATTGACCCCCTTTGGATTTCTGGCTAACTTATTGCTAACTTATGGCTAATTAAAGAAAACTAGATAATTTTAGACCCTCTCTCTTGCTTGCTGTCTCTTTAATTTGAATATTAGATTGAACCATGATGTGCGCAAATTTAATCCTAAGTGAAGTTACATTTCATGTTAGTGACCTGACATTTTGAGTAGCAGAAGCAGCAAGGGACCAGTAAAAAGGAAAGTCTCATGAATCTCACAATCACAAAAGAGAAATATGTGAACGAAGAGTTGAAAGACCCCATCCTCAGCCACCAAACTTTTGCAAGGCCTCGAGGAAGTTGCTTTCTCTAATTCCTTATCAATAATATGGGGGAAATTCTCTATGAACACAGTAAATATTAAAAGGCAAAGAGTAGGAAAACCAGGTAACCATCCAAAAATAAAGACACTACATTGGTTTAGAATGACAAACGATGTGATAACATAGGTATTTCTACTACCAAGTATTGAAGGCACAAAACACAGAATTAATGGTAAAACTAAAGATTTCTTAGGAATACACAAGCAACTTAACTCATCATGTAACCATTCTTTTCTGAGAAAGGCTATAAACTCAGAGGAAATCAAAATCTCTGAGCAGCCACCTACATGTTTATGAAACTGGGCAAGTTTTCTTTCATCTTGTTTCGGGAAAGATGGGCCATGGGGTTATTTGTTCTCTGACTTTAAGCTTTTCTGAAAGGGGTCATATCCCTTCTGCCTTTCTCCAAGCGTACATAATGCTGTTACTATTACCTAGTACCCCTTCCTTCTGAAACACATTTTCTTTTACTATATATGAAGCCCCTTCTATGTTCTGGATATATGTTGAGTACCTCTTTGCTTAGAATATGAGTCAGTTAGTCAAGATAGCATTGAGTTGAATTCAACTTCTGGTGACTGGATGGACAAATGCTTGCCATTTTTACTATGAAATCATAGCTTTCTGAAAACATTCCAGTTATTTAATCCCAGCCCTCCACCTTCTCCATTGTCTTCCCCTTCTTTTTTAACCTTGTAATCATTTCTTTCTAGTCCATCATGCATTCACATCAAATGCCAAAAGTATATGTTTCTCCTTGTTAAATCATTGCTCCATTGGAACAGTCAACTTTTATTTGGGCCATGACTGAGTGGCTGATCAATAGTTCAGTGGATACTTTATTTGTGCCTGGTGCCTTCCTATTTGGTAGGTGATACATTGTTTGTTCTTTACTTTCTACTGCAATCACTCTTTGAATATATAATTTTTCTACAAATATTTGCCATTCTATAATCCTGTTTGTAAAGGGTTTCAATAGTCTAACCATCTTCTAACCATCTTATTTGCCTCTGTCAGATTGATTCTGTGGTTACTAGTATTCCTACCTTACCTGTAAATTTTCTGTGATTTCTGTGATCTTGAAAAGATCTCTCATTTTTCTTTTTTATTGTTCTTATATTTCTTGATTATATATATATTTCCCTGTTCTTTTTGCTTGACGTCTTATGTACTTGCTGCCCAAGCCTTTCATCTTTTCCTGATTATGATATTCTGAAAGCTACTTATATACATATAAACCCATCACAATATTCCTTTCAGAGTAAGCAACGTTATGCAAAATGCAGAAAGAGTGAAAAGTATTGAAGGAAAGGAAAGGAAAGGAAATCTAAGTCTAGTTTATATCACACCCTTTGCTATACCTCTTCATACCATTCTATCCTTGGAAATCATTCTTGCTTTCGCCATAACCATATATTGATTCATGCACTGCTTTTTATCCTTTAATCTCATCTCTCTCTTTTTGAGAATCTCATAAAGTCCATTGAATGCTAGAATTAAAAATGACACAGGAACAGAAGTTTCTTTAACAAGGTCTTCATTAGTCACTTCAGAATTAACACTGAATTAATTTCCTTTTCTCTTATTTTTTGCACTTCCATCTCCCTTTTATGACTTTTTAAAAACACATTCTTTTATTATTTCTGTCTTTTTTATGATTTTTTTTTACCTGCGAGGCAAGAAATAAACTTGTCTGGCTACATTTGGCCACAGTTGGAGCTAATAGGAGACAATAGTTTTCATAACAGAGAAGAGAGGATGGGGAAAAGGAAGAAGAAGCAGTATATAAACATCCTTTGATCAAACTGATTAAACAGCCAAAAAATTAAGAATATTTACAATACAAGAAGGCATCAATTGTAAATAGTAAAACTCCTATAACTTATCTCAAATTGATATGAAGCCTTGGAATGGGATTTGTAAGGAGAAATTGAGAGCTAACCCATTTCTAGAGTTTACCCCTCTGGCTCCCAGGAGGGGTCTGTTGCTTTAACATCTTTCCTATGCGAGGCTGCTCCAGTTTGTCCTGCAGCTGCACTTTGTTTAAAAGACCATGAGAATGTGGATTTTAAATGTGGAAGGACAACTGACTCTATATCCAGACAATGTCTACTGACTGCACAATGATTTCTATTGTAGTTGTAGAGGGAGACAACTAAGAAGAGGGAGAGGCTGTCCCCACCTTTAAACAAGCAGAAGAGCCCTGAAGGAGAGCCCATCAACCAGGAAGCTGGGGACAGGGAGAGTAGATTCCTACAGACTAATTATATTGCCCTCAAGTTACATTTAATAGCATATTATGTGTCATAGGCATCTGGGGGGATCAAAAAAGTCCATTGCCTTCTCTTTGAATCAGCTGTTTTACTATGAACTGTATTTTGTTGATCTTTTGGAAGTTAAATGGCTGCCAAGCGGAAGGGGCCATAAACAGAGTATGCAGCCCTTCATTCCTGCCATACTGTTTATGATGAAACCCTTCATGCATACAGTTTTCCCAGTCCAAGTGTTTCATGAAGGAAGAATAGGTACTTTGATGGATTTATTTCCCTAGGATGGTGCTGCTTCTTTAAAGCAAGATATGCTGGTGACAATCCCCCACCAGGGGCTTCAGCTTCTAAAGTCCTTGAGAGGAAACTGCTTAAAGAAACACTGGAGCACAAAGGCATATAAGATGCCTTTGGAAGAATATGAAGCAAGGTTAATTGAGTCATTTGGACTCTCGCCAAGAGGTGAGCCAGGTAGACATAATTAAAAGTCTGATAAGGTTAGGCAGGCATTGCTAGCCTTTTGTACCACAGCAGAGCTATTAATCAAACTGGTATCTCCAGTTTCCAATGTGCAACATTTTGAATAAGAACTTGACTTGAGAAGAATATCTTTGACACAACTAGAGGCAACTGAAAATCCTGAGCAAGAAAAAACACAACAAGTGCTGATCAGTCACTTCTATAAGAGATTATCTTACCGGTATTACCAATATCACCAACCCCCATATTGAGATCTTAAAGAATCAGAGAGTTCAGAGCTTTAACAATGAGTCCATTGGCAGAGATCTGACTCTCCCAGTAAATGTTTCAGTCACAGCCCAGATTCAGGCATCTGAAGTTTTGACAATGGAAATTTGCAAAATTATCACAACAAATCAGGAGTCTTTAGGACAACAAAAGAGTTCTGGTCTAACAAGCATCTTGGAGAGAGACAGCCCTGGAAAAAGAACCCAACAACTCATTGGAGGGATGCAGTGATCTCTCTCACACACTTCTGGTTCCAGGCACACAACCCAGCACTCTCCACCAATGACAGGACCCAATGCAAAACAAAGTGGAAGAATCTATTCATTCCTTGAAGTAGCTCATGTGAGGGATGGCATTAAGCAGGTAAAATGACCTTCAGTTAAAGATCATATTACTTCTTTACCATGGAACACTGCAGAGTGGTGGTCAAAATCGAAAGACTTTTTAAAATACTGACATTATTAGAAGTTATTTTTAAAATATATTTTAAAATATATTTCTATCTGCATGCATCTCTAGAGGAACCTTTTTACCAAGGGTCAGCAAAGAACCAAGATGCAACTTGGTGGGATTCTATCTGAGACAATTGACTACAGCTCTCTGCCTTTTGAATGGCACACTAGTTGGAGACTGCCCCGTGGAATATATCTTTTGGGGAGTAGGGAGAAGGTTAACAG